CTTGGATGCAATAAATTATCATTGATCCCTGCCTGGTAAGTTATTTCCAGCAAAGTTCTGTCGTGCTTTTCCAGGATTGATTTTTTTTTTAAGTCTATGAAAAAGTGAAGATCAAGAGCTGCGCTGATACAGTAATAATACATGCCTGTTTCTCATTTATAGATTTTCAAAGCATATTTCATGTGGCCAAATATGCAAGAGAAGTAGCACGTGCACACTTATATATGCATACTATAAATCCCAGTCATGAACACACACACAAGAAATGAAGTGGGGGAGAAATTGTGACTAGCATCATATAAGAGGCACTAGCACACTGTTAAGTTGTGGGTGAACATATCAGACGACACAGCGATTCTTCAAACAGCTCTTGTTTATTCACAGGCCAGAACAGAACTGAACTGAAGGGTTCAGTCAGCCTGCTTATATAGAGCTCCAGAACAATGTAACTGTAACAATTTTCTAAAACTATCCAATCACTGAACGTCACTTTCGATCCCTTATTTGCATAACTATCTACAGTATCTCCCTGCTGGCCCAGGGTGAGAACTTCAGTACATGACACACACCATTTTTAGTCATCTCCTTTCTAGACCAAATCACAGACTACTACTCACTTTTTTCCACTGTTGCAGAGGGAGAAGAAAAAAACCTCAGAAGCCTCTACCAGCAAAATTAGCCCCCTGGGAGGCTGCATAAAAACCATACATTTAGAGCAGGGGTAGGCAACCTAAGGCCCGGGGGCCGGATGCGGCCCAATCACCTTCTCAATTCAGCCTGCGAACGGTCCGGGAATCAGCGTGTTTTTACATGAGTAGAATGTGTCCTTTTATTTAAAATGCATCTCTGGGTTATTTGTGGGGCATAGGAATTCGTTCATTTCCCCCCCCCCAAAAAAAAATATATAGTCCAGCCCACCACATAGTCTGAGGGACAGTGGACCGGCCCCCTGCTGAAAAAGTTTGCTGACCCCTAATTTAGAGCACATTCCCCCTCCCAAGAATCCTGAGAACTGTACTTTGCCCCTCACAGCGCTACAATTCCCAGAATCCTCAACAAAATATAGTTCCCATGATTCTTAGGAAGGCAGAAACATGCTTTAAATGTATGGCACATTTCCAGTTCAACCTGTTTCCATCCACATTCTTTAGACTGCTCAGCAAACTGAATACAGTAATACAAATTCACATTCAGTAAAGGGAGGGCAGTGAGAGGAAGAGTTGAGAGACAATTAACCAACTGTAGACTGCTACAGCATGTGTTCCCTTCTCCCAGGCTTACCTGTGTGGGCTGCTCTGTCCAGGCATCCCCAGCTGATGGAGTGGAGTTTGGTATTTGTGTCTGGAATCCCAAGGCCTGTTAGGGTACTAAGCAAATAAACATTGGTAATGTTATCAAGTTACTTGAGGAGGGACGCGGGTGGCGCTGTGGGTAAAAGCCTCAGCGCCTAGGGCTTGCTGATCGAAAGGTCGGCGGTTCGAATCCCTGCAGCGGGGTGCGCTCCCGTTGCTCGGTCCCAGCGCCTGCCAACCTAGCAGTTCGAAAGCACCCCCGGGTGCAAGTAGATAAATAGGGACCGCTTTCTAGCGGGAAGGTAAACGGCGTTTCCGTGTGCAGCTCTGGCTCACCAGATGCAGCTTGTCACGCTGGCCACGTGACCCGGAAGTGTCTGCGGACAGCGCTGGCCCCCGGCCTATAGAGTGAGATGGGCGCACAACCCTAGAGTCTGTCAAGACTGGCCCGTACGGGCAGGGGTACCTTTACCTTTACCTTTAATGTTATCAAGTTACTTGAGGAGAAACAGGAATGTGCCTCTCCCTGTACCCCAGTCCCCCCATCCCGCCTTTCTGCTGCATCCCAGAACCACCACCACCCAGCTGACCTCAGCAAGCAGGGGAGCGTTCCACAAGGCTTTGACAATCATCTTCTCCACCCCAGGGGTAGGGAAGATGAGTGGCAATGCCATGCGCCAGAATGCTCTTGCACTTCCACCACCTGAGGCAGCCGCTTCCCTGTCTCATGGATGGGCTGGCTCTGTTCTCAGGTTCTCTGTACCATAAGACTAAGTTGTTCTGTACAATGTGCTTCCTTTTTATGTAAAACATTCTTCCTCCCTGTAAGCTTGCATACACTATACCTTTAAAACACATTCAAACCACTTTATTTACCCTCAAAGAATTCTGAGCACCATCGTTTACACCTCACAGTTTGTTCCCCCTTGTTCATGCAGTGCTCTCCTCCAATTACTGCAGTTCCACAGGCTTCCCTCCCTAAATCCAGAGATTCTCTGTATTTTCAAAATCCAGTTAGGAGAATTACATTGATTGCATAGGGAATCTCCAGGTGTAGGGAGGAGAAAGTGTGTGACAATGGTAGGTGGAAGACAATGCTGTATGGATGAGGGGGAATTAAAGGAGCGGCAAGGGGCTCATAATCCATACTAAGATGAGTTATGGATGGGGCCCAAATCTTCAGTAGAAGATTGGGCCCTAAAACCCATTTGATTAATCACAGATCTCTGAAAAACCATACAGCAGAAGCTGACAGACACCACTTTTGCAGGACCTACTTTGCTTTTTTTTTTTTTTTCTAAAATACTACAGCCAAGGCCTGGGGTAAAATAATGACTTGAGTTGGCAGGAATGGTGGTGGAATACTTTTAGAATTAAAGCACAGAGAGCGCCTTCCTATGCTCAAGCTAGGAATTTGTTTTAATCAGAAATGAGCTCACAGTTCTATCACACCTACATGCCATTCCTGGTTTTCCCTCAAGTCTCTTTAGCTCAGCAGCATATTTTAGAAAGGGATAGGAGAGAACCATTTGTTGTTGCAACAGCTGGGAGTTGTTGATCCACTGCAGATTACCCTGAGATCTAGAACAGATCCCAATCCACCTTCTTCTGCACACGCCTGCCCCAGAGCATTGTTTCTTATAGGGTTTTGAGTTGAGATGAAACTTTGGAACAGCAGCATGGATGCAAATTTGTCCTCTCAACAGCATGGAGGGATCCTGCCTTCTCAGAATAGCCATTTGGAAATCCTAAACTCCACATGGTGTTTCCTATTAGGATCTCTTTGTTATTTCATATAATTTTTCATTTCGCAAAATTTATATACCACTTGATTGTAAAAACAACAACAACAACCTCAAAGCATTTGTCACTTAAAAATGATTTCTGAAAATAAGTAGATTTGAGATCAGTTATTCATGCAGAACTCCACTGATTTAAGGGCCAGCCATAAAGCATATCACACTTGTTAAAGCCTTTTTATAATGAAATATGACAGGCACCCACTATCTGTGCTTTCCAGAATACATGCTTGGTTTGACAAGCTTTCTGAGATGGAGAAGGTCTCTGCTATGGTTGTCTACTTTGACGTTTTTAAATTTATCTGTTGTTATTTTGTATTGCTTTTAGTTGGGTTTGTTGTATTTTGTACATCACCCTGAGACATAAGTGGAGTGCAATAAAGAAATGAAATAAATGCTGTCCCACCCAGTTATAACACTTTGTCCCATTTTAACCAATAGTAAATCCCTCCTTTTTAAGCTTTATGCAATCTCTTCCTACCCAATACACAACATACTTTATGGATAATCCCTTAGCCCGGTGCTTCTCAAATTGTAGATCCATTATGTTTTTGAATGGGACTCACAATGGTGGACTCTTTTTTTCTCATTACCAGGGGTACTTTTTGTACTTCTTTTCATTGGGCCAACAAGCTCCCTCACTCACTCCATGTCACGCTTAAGTTCTAGGCAACACAATGACAATGTACAATAAACAATCTTTTATAGAATTCCTTCAAACCATAACAAGTCCAAAATGAAAACTTTAGTCTCAAGATTTCATTTTGGACTTGTTATGGTTTGAAGGAATTCTATAAAAGATTGTTTATTGCATATGTACATAGTCATCGTGTTGCCTAGACATTGCTGACGTTCTCTTTGCAACTCAGGGGTTTGTTTGGTTACTTTCGCTTAAGTTCTAAGCAAACATATAATGCCTACATATAACTATGTTAACATTATGAAGAAAATCTAAATTTCTTCAGTGTTGACTAGGAATGTGAAATTCTTTCATTTTCTATGTAGAGCAGGAAAATAGGCTCCAGTAGGTGGGGTTAGGTTTAGACAGGTTGAGTAACTTTACAAATGAGCACTGCCTTAGCCCATCCCTCAGATATCTAGGAAACTTGAGTAGGCTCGCCATACATCAGGGAAATTATTGAAATGTCAGGGGATATGCAGATATACGGGAACGTGATGGGGAAAAACAGTGAAAACAGCTCAAAAAGCCTTAAATCAATTTGGGTTTGTTCCCAAAAAGCTCAACAATATTGGTGGTTTCCTTTTAAAAGCTCAACAATTTTGGGGTCTTCCCAAAAACGCTCAACAACTTTGCGGGTGTCAGGAATTTTTGTTTTTAATATGGCAACCCTGAAACTGAGTAGACAAACATTTTTATTTTAGAAGCTCCGATTTTTGGTTTTACATATTGTAAATCTCACGACGACGTTTACTTGGTTTTGTAAAGTGGGTTTTTTGTGTTTTTTTACTGTTGTTACCTGTCTGGAGCGCTCTAAAATTAGACGGGGCAGAAGTTGCTATATAAATAAAAATAAGAAGGATAAACAGCCAACTTCAGCCCCTGGAGGCTCACAAGATGTCGCCCTAGAAATGGGGAATACTTCAGCCACTCAGGGTTCAATACTTTACTGACATATCTGGGAGTAAGCCCACTGAACTCAATAGGACTTAGTTCCGAGCAGACACGTAAAGGACTGCACGGCCACCCTCAGCGTTCCCGCCTAAAAATTAAAGTGGCCATTCCTTCCCTCACCCGCTTTCTAAGTACAGTACAGTACTGTATTTCATTGCCCCGCGCAACCGCCAGCAAAAACCTAAACAGGTGCGGCACAGAACTACCGGAAGTGTGGCAGAAACCAGCACGGCACACCAGGAAGTGTGGCGGGAAGAAACACGGAAGTGCGTTCATCATAGACCATAGAGGTGAGACAGGAAGAAGGGCATTTCACGTGGGAGAAGCGAGGCAACATGTCAGCCTCCTTGCTGAGAAAGGGTCTGGAGTTGCTGGAGACGACGGGAGGTAGTGTAAGGCAGCGGGGGACTAAGGGAAAGGGACGAAATCCGTTCGTTCTTTACTCTAATAGGCTTTCTCTCTCTTCCTCTGGACAGCGTCCGCTCTCCGGCCCAAGAGGGCAGCCACCACCAGCCCACCCAACAAGCAGTCGCTGGCGAGGGCGAGGAAAAAGAAGTTCTCTCGGCCCCAAAAGGAGAAGGCGACAGTCAAGGGCAAAGTCATCAAGTCCGCATTAGGTGAGCGCCGAGGAGCCATTATCTTCGAATCCACCCATAAGTTTTTTAGCAATCAAAGCAAAACCCTTCAGGCAAGCCTCCTATGAATCCCGGGAGGATGCAGTTAATCACCGAAACCTTATATTTATTGCGATGACGAACAGCAGAGATGCTAAAGTTTTAAAGAGAACCGCTTTGACTCCCGCCTTCTTCAGCTGTTCTTATGTGTATCAGACGCTGCAGCCGAGGTGGCAGTTTCAGAACACGAGGGAGTATTTGGAAGGGTGGCTGTTGTCGAGTGATGCCTGTTATTACCCTCCAGGATGAGGCTTTTTTGTTTAGAGAGAAGGGGAATAATGGGAGATATGCATCCAGGTGCATTATGCTTGGTGTGGGCAAGGTGAATAGAAAAAATGTTTTTCTCCCTCATAATACTAGAACTTGGGTGCAATCCAACCAAGTTGAATGTTGGAAAATTCAGGAGAAACAAAAGAATGTATAAACGACAAAATTCATTCCTACAAAAGTAGTGATGTCTACCAATTTGAGTGGTGCTAAAAGAAGAATAGACAAATTCATGGAGCATAAGGCTATCAGTAGCTACTAGCCATGGTGGTTATGTTTCCCTCCTCTGTGGGAGGCGGTGTGCTTCTGAATACCAGTTGCTAGGAATCACAGGTGGGGAGAGTGCTATTCTGCTCATATCCTGTTTACTAACTTCATGTAAGCATCTGGTTAGCAACTGTGAGAACAGGATGCTGGACTAGACAGGCCATTGGCATGTTCTCTGTGTTTCTTCAATGAGGCCCTGTATCAAGTATATAGCTATATCTCCCAAGTATATATATCCAGGCATTTTGAGTTTTTTCTAGAGCAAATGACATTTCTGTTGCAATTATGGATCAACCAGAGAAGCTTTAATTATCTGAATATTACCTCACCTACAGTACCCTCTGTTCACACCAAAGGAACTAAGGAATATGGAAACCAAAATGTTTTTCTTAAATATATCTGTTTTGTAAATCACTGGTGATGAGTGCAGGGTCTATGTCAGTTCATATGGGGAAAGGCAGTCTTTGAGGTCCTCTGAGGGTTTGCAGATAAGGAATTCTAAAAGGAAGCTGAAAAGACAAACTGACTTTTGCTCCAGCTGGAGCTGCTTAAAAAACTCTGTGCATGTGGGCAATTGTGAATGATATGCAGGAACATTCTGCAAGACTGTAATAATACATGCCCAGGCATCTGTCTTTGTTTTGTATCCATTAGTTACATTAGTTGCTTAATGATCGGAATTGTGTATTTGTATAGACATGAATCTCTCTACTACCATCACTTCTCCACTTCCTTGGGCTTCTCAATGTACTATATTATAATTAAGATCTGGAAGGTTTGTGATTGGTCTATTATCTACCTGAAGTGACTGTAGTATTCACTTTAGTAAATAATTTTGCTCTCCACATTGGGAACTAACACATGCCCTATGCATGGTCCTAGTTGATCCAATTAAAGACCACCTTACCAGTTTTATCTGTAGTTTTAGATCTATAACCTGTGCTATACTGTATGATGGGCAATTTAAAAATAATAATAAATCTGGGCCACAGTGGCAATGTCCATGCCATACATGAAAGAAAGTATCAGTCATAGCAGCATGTTATATCTCGCCGTATCTGTTGAACAATCTTACTAAAAATTATTTTCTTAACTTTCCCAGAGGAGTATACGAAACGTCAAGCTGTTGACCATTTTCAGGAAAATGTGAAGTACATGACGAGTAGCCATTTCATGACAGACAGCACCATCACTCAGAAGGTGAGCCTTCTACTCTGTTCATTAGATCCCATAGCTTACCTGGAGGCAGGGGTGAGGAATGTGCTGTCATTGCAAATTTGTTTTTCCTGCCTTGTGCCTTGTCACACGCCCTAACAATAATGTTTCTTTAATAGAAATTGAGTTGATAAAGTTTGCCTGAAATATGGGTTCTATGTGCCATATGTTGTGTAAGAAAAACTAACAAATTTCTATACCTGTAAAGTATCAGTTGAAATGATGTCTCAAAAGGAAGAGCTTTAGCTCAGTTGCAGAGCAGAACATCTGTTTTGCATGCAAAAAGTCCCAGATTCAGTCTCCAGATGGGACTGGGGATATTCGTGGCCAGAAACTACCAGTGTGGACAGTATTGAGTTACATGGACCAATGTGTAAGCCAGCTTTCTGTGTTCCTAAGGTCAGGGCATCTTGAGAAAGAGCTTGCATTTTTCCACTTACCTTCTAATTCCTATTGCTTCTTGCTCTGCCATTCTTACCAAATAGTAAATATTTATCTTAATACATTAAAAATATATTTTTAAACAGTCTGGGGAATTCCTAAAATGATTTCTACTAGACTGTAAATCAGACTTTTTGACTCAAGTATTATTTTTTTTAATTCTCACCTTGCATGGGTCCTTTTCTTTCCAAAAGGAAGAGGCAGTTGCTTTTGAAATTGGACCATGATTGAATTTTAGTATTGGTATGCAGCAATGCAGAGTGTAGCCTTGTTGGACTGAATTTCCTTAAATTATTTTGAACAGAGTCTAGACTTGGCTCTATTTGAACAGTGTGTCAGCAGTCTGTGCTCAGATGATTGTTTGAGCTGGAAGATAAATGGAGATTTGGGAACTGTAAGTAGTTGTGCAGTAATAGAAAGCTGTAACTTCTCGTTTCCCTTTGTTTTGTGTCTGAAGGTTTTGGCCCAAAATAGAGGCAGGAAAGCCAGAGACCGCCGTCAAGAGGAGGAGAAAAAGAAGCCCGAAGGCACTGTTTTCACCGAGGAAGACTTCCAGAGATTTGAGAGAGAATATTTTGGGGGAACTGGAACAGTCTGACAAAAACGGCACTGTCTCCTGGTTATAGAGAAAACATCAAAGATACTTCCTTTTCATAAGCAATTGGGAGCAGAACTTTACAATAGGGACCTGAAGCACCTCTACATCTAACTTGTTCAGTCCTCTCATGCAAGATGTCTGCTCTTTCTTACCAAGAAAACATTGTTCCTAGGAATTACCTACTTTGGGACTTGGGGTTCTACCTCTCTAATCCTTTTTGCAGCAGTATGAGAAAATGCTGGCTTCAACCAATCATCCCCCACCCCCAAATAGTTAAGAGGCCTGAGAGACAAATTGAATGCCAATGTTAGGGCAAGGGGAATTCCCCCAAAGTGTGGGAATTAAATGCACTTCCTTTTGCAGGAATACTGCTAGGAAAACTCCATAAATGTGTATTTTATTGTTACACTTGCATTCATTTTCGTCCTTCTTCCAAAGAAATTACAGCAGCTTATATACAGTTGTGCTTCGTACCCCAAGTGATCATCTCTCTAAAGCATCTTAGGTTTCTGTATTCAGTGTGAGGCTGTAGTAACACTGCTTCTGTTAGTAAGTGAAAAGGGTCTCTAGTTGAGTTTCTGAAAATGATTCTTGAGGCTTACAAGGTAGGTATTTATGGTATAGCATAACTTGTGCTCTTAAAGTAGCTTGAGGGTAAGTAGCTTGGGGGCACTTCTGGATCCTTTGCTGTCGCTTGAAGCCCAAGTGGTCTCAGTGGAGTGAAGCGCCTTCCATCAGATTCGACAGTTGTCCCAGCCACACCTCTGTCTGGATAGAGATAGCCTAACTCCTGCCATCTGTGTTCTGGTAACCTCTAGGATGGTAGTAGTATTCTTATACACAGCTCATCAGACTGGGTTGCCCCACTCTGGGCGATTACTGCAGTGCCAAGGGCTGCCTTTGTAGACAGTTAAGAAACTCCAGCTGGTGCAGAATTCAGTGGCCAGGTTGCTAACCAGGACAAGAGGGTTTGAGCATATTACACTAATCCTGAATTGCCTGTCGGTGAGTTTCCAGCCCCTATTCACAGTGGGGGTTTTTACCTATTAAGCTTTGAACTGCTGAGGACTGTCTGTCACCATATGAACCGACCCAGACCCTATGATCGTCATCCGAGGACCACCTTTGTGTGCCTCTAGAGGTCTGGGTGGCAGCAACACAAGAGTGGGCCATTTCTGCAGTGGCTCCGTTTGTGGAATGCTCTCCTCGGGGACGTTTGGCTAGCACCTTTATTACACACCTTTGGGCCCCTGGCAGAAATGATCCTCTTTAACCAGGCCTGACTGATTTAACATCCTATATACCCTGTAAAATGTGTCTATGGGAGTGGGGTTATTGGTTTGTTTTGCTTTTGTATGTAATTTATTTTCTTTTTGTATTTTTGTTGTGAGACACTGTGATCGTCGGGGGAAGGACAGTATACAAATTTAATAAATAATAATACAATTGTCATTTAAAGCAAGTGCTCACTATATTTGGGCCAAGTTGGGCTGGGAACCGATAGTGTTGGAGGGTAGCTGATGGTGTAAATGTTCAGCAGCTTGCGAACTATTTAAATTATTTCTTAATTTTGCAGTTACTGCAAAACCCTCCCATGTTACTATCTCCCCAAAATGAGTTGGGAAAGTCACTGCTCTCCAGCTGTTCTTTGAAATTTCCATAATCCCAGAGCATTTGCCATGCTCCCTATGGCTGATGGTGTAAGGACCACAGCTCTCCATGAGTCAATTGTTCAGTTATTGTGCAAATTCATTTTGAGTTGCCATCTGCACCTACCAGCCTTGGGCAGCTAAGCCCCCATTCTGACCCATTAAAAAAAATTTGACATCTGTATTAAACTTTTCGCAGTGCATCACTCCAAATGCAGCAAAACTGAAATGGCAAGACTTTGCCAGTGCAATTTCTAAGACTGCTGAACTCATGCCAGGTAAGCCAAAGACCTAGTCAAAGATTTCTTACTTGTGGAAATACCCCTCTGCCACAATTACGTGAAAATTTTTAAATATTTTCTCCACCTCATCTTAATCAATTTGGGTTTAAATTACTTTGCAAAATCTGCTGGATGGTGCAGCAACTTTACCAAAATATGGCAACAGCACTCTGCCAGTAAACTGGGGTTGTCAAAAGCTATGGGTGCATAGCTTTTGCTACTGATTGCTGAATTGTTAGGCTGTTGAAAGCTTCTTCAGAGTATTAAGGGGAAAAGCACCTCCACCAATATAGGAGGCAGATGAAGCTGTCTTGCTGCAAGTGCTCTTCAGTGTGGATATTCTTAGTTAACTTCCTTTTCATTTCCCCCCCCCCAGCCCAGGCTGTAGTCACACCGAACAGAAATGCTATCATTTCAAGTCCCTTTATGCATTTTTGTTGCAATATGGTGTTTCAAAACTTGTGTCTGCAACAGACTGAGAAGTCTGACAAATTACCGTAACCAAATTAAAAAAAAAACCTCATAGAACTAGCTCTTGCTCCCTTCATGCACTTTTGTCAACTGTATCTAACCAAATGATACCACCAAGTACATAGCAGAGTAAAACTGCAATTAAGGTTGCTTTTGAGAATAAAGGCCTTTGGATCATTAAACGTAAACTATTTATTGGTTGTACCAATAATATGTATATGAAAATATCCACACACATAACTAGCTTAGAGATGAATACTGCCAAAAGTGCCATATCCCATTTTTTAAGCCTTATCAAATGGGAGTTGCCAGGTCCCCCCCCCAAGAATAATCCAGACCTCTCTATTTTTATTCCTTTTGAATTTTATTAAAATCTGCAGACCAAGCCTGCTGTAAGTAAAACCTCCATTTGCAAGACGCAAGACAAATGTGTACTAGAAAATAATTTATTAAGCAACAATACACAGCTCATTGTACTAAGCTCTTATATACATGCATGTAACATATACCCTTGACTACCCTATTCTGGGGCTTTAACTTTTTTACCCTTGGCCTTCCGGACCTCTTCAATTAGATCTTTCAAATACTGAATTTCTTTGCTCAGGGAATCTGCCTTTTCCCTCAGTGTTTCGTTTTTCTGCTCTAGTTCTCTACATTCCCCTGATAAGGCCTCCTGCTCTAACCTTTTCTTCTGTCGATAGCGTGTAGCTGCAGTCTTGTTTTGCTCCATCTTCTTCAGTTTCTTATCTACTCTCTTTTCTCCTTTCATCTTCACTGACACTACCTTATCTGCAGGATGGTCATAAGGTTTGGACCTCACAGGGCTATCATGCAGGACTGTGACTGATTGGCAGTCACTGAGGGAATGAACAGAAGTGGTGGGGCTTTGCTGGGGAGACCCCAGGTAAGATTCTGGACTCATGCATATTCCACTATCATTGTCTGAGTGAGCTTCATCCTCTTTTTCACACTTTGGAATCACCACTACTAAGATATGGGCTTCAGCTTTCTTGTCTCCTTCAAGAACATCTACTTCACTGCCTAATTCTAAACTGAAAGAATGGTCTGTAGTGGAAATCACTGACTCTGGAGTGAGGGGAAATGGAAACAAGGGGGCCAGTGGGGCCACCTGGTCTGCCCCAGAGGGAGACTTAGGAGAATGAATAATTAATTCTGTTATCAGTGGAGTTTCTTTGTTGGGAATTTCTTGGACAGGAGGGTCAAATAGATCACACGTGTCCTCCAACGTGGCCATGAGCTCATCTGGGGAGACGGTGGCTTCCAGATCATCGATACCCAACAGTGCATCGAAGTCAAATTCCTTCAAATCCATCTTCTCCACCATCCAATCCATGCCAGAGAAGGCATCCTCTGTTAAAGAAATGACAATTTTTTATAAAACAAAAAACCATGAACTTAAGAAATGAGGGTTTTTAAAAAGTGTTTTTTCTCTCTCCTTTCCTGTGCTCATTTAATATATTTAGATGATGTTGCTAGCACTCATATCAGCTCAGTGCTTTAAACTTATTAAGAATGTCACACATTTACTACATGGAACTATAATTCAGCAAGGCCGCCCAATGTTTTCTGAATACGTTTCGGTCTGTGTCTTACCCTGGCTGTTGTCTGTGGCATTGTTCGAACTATCCACAGCCAGCCATTCGGAAGAGCCCACTTTAGCCTTGTCGCTGGAGAACCCATGCGAACTGAGGTTCTTGGCCACCTCCAGGTAGTCATCTAGGAGGCCCAGGCCCTCCTCAGCCACCAAACACGGCTGGTTGAAGGGGGACAGAAAATCCCCCAACAACATCTCTGTGTTTGAGAAGCTCATTTTGGTCAGATTTTAGTACTTTGTCGTCAAAAAGCGTGGACAAATAGATGGTGTCTTTGTCGAATACAGCAAAGCTGCTGTCTGATGGCTTGAAAAACCTGAAAGACACAAGCAATTTTTGTTGTCATTATAAAGATGTCCATTGATGTTGAATTCAGGTTATCCCTTGAGGGGGAAAAGACGAAAAAAAGTACATTACTGCAACAACAGCACCCCATGATTCCAGTTTAGGACACTGTATCTGGATCCTATCCAAGAGAGTTCTAATGAATACCAACAAGGCACTATTGTACAATAGCGCCAACTAGGATTTGTGGAAAATGTTCTCACTTCTGCAAGGCAGCCTGCTTGGGTTTCCTCCCAACCATATATGGTCACAGCCACGGTTTCAGCTCCACCCACCACTTTTCCTGGTCTGATTCATGCATTCACAAGCGTCAAAGGCAACAGCTGCAGCCATTTCATGATCTGCCTGCTGTGCATGTCCCCACCCTATAAATAGGGAGCCATTTTGTGTCCTGCCACGTTCCATGAAGGTTCGATTACTCCTGGTATCCTGTCATTTTTCTAATCAAGACTGAGCAGCAGCAATATAAGGGGGTGCCAAATAGTTTGAATTCACATTCAGTGATCAAAAAAGGGTAACACTTTCCACAAATAGATATACACAAAACTTATTTCAAGGTGACAGGGAGCCATCTGAAATCCCCACCCTTTCTTGGAAAGCTCCATATGGCACCAATCCAAAACAGTCAGATCTGAACCTAGGGAAAGCCACCGCTTTTCTCCTTTTAAGTGTCTTGCAAAATTAAACAAAAATTAGAGCTGCTCCTTTTGCCTGTCGCTGTATGCTGAGAAAAGGTTTACCAGTTGTCTGGCAAGTAGGTACTAATAAACCACAGCTGTTTGGCTCATGAAAGCCCCAGCAAATTTACCTTAAATGCCATCTTTGGTCTATATAGGACGGGAAGACACAGCACAGATCTGTCAATAGTTCAGATCTCATGAGCATTTGCTTAGCTATGAAGGGAAATCACTTTAATTACCCTGGGAAGCCCAGAGGCTCATTAACTCATCCTCCACTTTGGACAAATAGACCTCTCCCATCCTTTTTCTCTCCAAGGGAAGCCTCGCCCCACCCTCCGATCTCCTTTCCACTTCCAAGGTAGATCTTTTTTTGGGGAGGACGAACCATTTCCAGAATGTCACATTATCCCCACTTCATGCCCCGGCCACGAAAGCAGATGTCAAAGCGCGACCCTTTCCAGTGGGGGAAGCGGAGCATAAAGCGCTGCTAATTACGCCCCGGGGCTTTTAATCCCGTGAGATGAGTCTATGAGCTCCCCCGTCGCCGCCACCGCCCACTACTGGCTTATGTTTAAAGATGGTTCTCGTCGCCCCCTCCTTCGGAAGCATGAGGCGATCCTCCCGTTTTGTCCCTCCTCGATACTCACGCCATGGTTGCAGATGCCTGGAGATGCCGAGGCCGCGGCCGATGCTGCTGCGCCTCTGCAATGGCCGATGCCGCCGCTTGCACTGCCGCACCTACCATGCCATGGCGGCGGCTGCGGTAGCAGAAATCACCCCCTCGCTTCGACGCCGCGTTTGAGCTGCGCCCCGGACAGCGACACGCAACAGCAGACACTACTCTTAATTCTACAGGCAGACAATGAGGCTGCGCCGCCCGCGCTTTCCGTATTTATACGCAACAAGATCCGGCAGGGCGCGCCCCTCGAAGAGCAATCACTCCAACAGGATCCTTCCACCAACCGTTTCCAGAGTTAAAATAACTTCGTTCAAAGAACTGGATTTTCTCCGAGGGCACTCTGCAGGACTCTAGGGGCCAAACGTACAGTTTGCGGGGCTTGGCGACTGGATCTGCCTGACCCTGTTCAAAAGTCAGCGGAAGGTTTTCAGGTACTACACTGTGCTATTTTACTCTAATGCCGCTCTCCAGGCTTTCAATTAAGGTCAGACCGCGTGACGCAGAAACGGCTGGCTGGCTTCCTATTGGCTTCCTTGGAGCAGTGGGAAGGCGACTGGCTGGAGCAGATGGTGTCCCGAACTCGAGATAGCACGTGAACATAGAAACACCCGATTGGCTGACAGCGCCTGTCCACGTGTACTGTAAACCGTCATTGGCTTAGAGCGGGAAGGGCGTCAATGGGTTCCGAAAGGCAGTTGAGGAGTGGGAGGGAGGCAGAATTATTTTCTGTGTCGCTCGCGCGCATTAAAAATTCAACCGCCTCAGGTTGGAGGACGGCGCAAACGTCCTTTCGTTGTCCCCGTCCTGCGTGTTTCTTAATGCACTGTTGCTTGCCTCTCCCTTCTTTTGGAATGTGAATATAGGAAAGGAACCTTGTTCCATCTTCTTTGCCATCCTTTTCCTTCCCCCTTTTCCAGAGCGGCTGCCATGCTTGGTCGGTGTGGCAAGAGACTAAACATGGCTGCTCCCCTGGAACTGGCCTGACATTTGTGGAGCTCCGTCCGCAGGAGCCCTATAGGGCGCAGTAACCGCCTCTTCCTCTCCCTCCCTTGGCTGTGCTGGGGTGCAGATGGCGCCTGGCGAGCCTAATCGCTCCCCACCCTAATGCACTATGAAAGAGATAAGAATTGAGTGCAACGCAGCTGCTTTTCCCTCAAGATGGCCAAGCTGCCCACAGAGAAGGCGCAAATGGACATAAAGCCTTCTGGGGAGCGGGGGAGATGAGCCTTCAGGCAGCAGCAACCGCCCCTGCTGAGTCCTGGCACTTGCCTGCCTGCCTGTTTCTCAGGGCCGCATAGCGAGGAGTGTATGGTGCGCTGGACTGGATCCGCGCCTCTGAGCTCTCGGGAGGGTAAAAGGATGAGATCGCTATGCCTTGGTCGCTGCTCGCACGTTTTTCTAGGCAGCACCGTAGGCCCAATCCTCTTCTCTGCACCCAGGCACGATAAGCGAGAGAGGGGAAGGTGTGAGGAGCTGCTCTTTGCCCTCGCCATGCACATTTCTCCCCTCCCCACAACGGGAGAGCGTAGAAGAGATGGTGCCGCTGGGGTGTATGTGTTCTGGGGCGCTTTCTAAGTTGGGGAACATCCTTTCTAGCATCTGGTGCAGATGGCACAAATTGTTTGGTCACCTTTTCCTTCCCCCTCCCTTCGGCTTCTTTTCCTGCAGAACAACTGCCTCTGTGCTAAGCATAGGGTATGGTTTTTAAAAATAACATGACATGTAGCTTGACCCCCTTCGTGTTGGGTAATCCACTTCCTTTCTTCTGCCAGTATCTCTGGGTGATTCACAACTTTTTCTTCCTCCTTCCCTCATGACGGGAATCAACATGAAAGTTCATGTTGTGTGGTCTGGTAGCCCTGAATCAATAAAAGCACAATTGTTTGTAACAACAAATGAAAAGCGAGGGAAAGGGAAGTCTTTGGGATTTTCTTTTTTGCGAAATGAAAAAACTACACTTATCTGTGTACTAAGGCATTCACAATAGAAGGATTCATCATGATTTGCAGCATAAAGTGCACAGTTCTGTGACCTCTGCTGCATTTTCTTATTGATCTCATTTGTATTCTGTCTTTTCTCTCTCGAAGAGACTGAAGGCAACATACGTGGAGTCATCCCATTTTATCTGCACAACGTCCCTGTGAGGCAGGCTAGCTTCAAGGTCATATAGCGAGTGTCATAATTCTGCGGATTAAGTTTTGGTCCAACAAATCTTGATCTCAATTCCATTGTGGCATCCATTTTTTTCTCAAAAATAAAGCAATGCTGCAGCTACCAAGCAAGCAATGGACTCAGCTGCGCAGCAATAATGGTTAGCTAAAGAAAGACATTGTCACAAAATACTTGCAGTAGTTGCTGATTTCTGCTAAATATGATGCTGTATTTACTGTCATTTTCAACAAGAGACTAACAAAGTATGTATGAATGGAAAACTCTTTACTTGAACTGGCTGTTGTTATTGTTGCAATTCCATCCATATTAATTTACAGATAGCTGGTACATTACTTATGTTGGGTGCAGTGCTTTGAAGGCCAGGTAATTTTGGTAATTTTGTTGTACTGTTAATACTATACACAACTTGTCTCAAAGCAATGTAGCGCCTAAAAGCTTTAGTGTTTCAAAATTAACAAGTTCACAAATGAAGAGTGTTCACAATTGGACTTTTTAGCCTGTCCAGTGCTACTTAAACCTGTGTGTTGGTTGGGAATATGAAGCTCATGAGGTTACGTTTCTAGTTAAAAATAAACCAGTTCTAACACATACACCTTATTGTCTTCTTCTTTAAGATAAGCCTTGTTCAGCTTCTATTTCCTCTTTTCAAAATAAAATCTTGAACAGGATATAGTAAAAGGAACTTCATTTCCCAAGACTGATGAGGGGGAAAATAATCACTAGGTGGACACGTCAGCACCAGTGTTTTCCATTGACAGAGTAGCAGTTCTCCTGTTTGCTTAAAAGGTCGTACAAGATTTTATTGACTGATGCAGGTCAATCTGTTACTGTGTTTAAAAAAGCAGCAACCATGCCCCTCAGGGTCACAAGTGATTAAGTTTTTTAAAAAAATGATTTAGCACTGCATTGCACCAAATATGTGCATTTGGCAAATACATTAGATTACCTCCTTTCTTTTTTTCTTTCTTTTTACAAATTTAGTTTGGTTAGTTGAAGATAGATTACATGAAGGCTAATTTTACGTATGTGCAAAAATAGATTTCACTAGGCCAAAACACTCCTTTTTACAACCAGTCCCCAGTCACATTGATTTTGATGGTGCAAGTGTATCTGTGTTTGTTCAGCCCCATGGCCTTAACTAGATTTGTGTGTGTGCAGCTGTTCTGTGAAAGGGGTGGGGAATGCAAACTTAGCTGAAGAATCCACTGGTGCACATTAGCAATACTTGGCTTATTTACTTCTGCTGGTTTTGAAAATGACAGCAACAGAACCTATTAGGCTTTAACAGCAATTAAAGTAAATATGTATAGTTCTTCAGATAGGAAAATATTTTAACATTCAGGATGCTAAAACCACAAAATCCTACTTTAGTTTTGTCATTTGCTCTCTGCCAAAGAAGAATCCCCAAAAGCACTTCAGTACTGCGGAAATCTAGGAAACGCTGCTTTCAGTTCATAAAGGGGGATGCAGCTGCTGCATGTCTGATTGGCTGGGCAAATGGGTGGACATCATCACAGGGTGCTGACTGGCTGCGGTAAACGATCTCATATCATTCCCCTCCCTACTTTAGTGAATGCCTTTTTAAGTGAAAATGAAAAGGTCATTCTAATCATAGTTAAATCAATGGAAATTAAATGTAAACCTTAACCTCTACCCCCCCCCCGAGATAATAAATCTCAATGAAAGAGCTCATTGTGGAGCTGAACAAAAGACACAAGTTAAATAAAAAGAACTGGCTTGCCCTAGCATTACAAGGGAAATAAATCCTTAGCATTTGTGGCGATGAAATATTCCAGAAAGAAATTTCCGGTCCCTGGGCCAAAAATAAATTAATTAAAAACTTCTTGTTTTGATACAGTACTTTAGAATCGTCTTCTATTTAGGCATGAAATGTCATTATTTTCAGAATTTTGCAGAGAAACTAATGTCCCTAACCTGGGTGAGTAACAACATTTTTCCAGCCTTACAGCAACTTTATAGGATTATTATAATAAGTCTTACTGACAAAGACTCGTCCCTGGCAATTGGAGGGAATTGAACACAGCATGCCAAAATCTATACCCAGCATTACAAACAAATTAACAATTTCTTTCTCTCTAATGTAAGATACAGAAAAATGGAATGTCATGTTGACACGTCAACACATCTCACCATTTCACAGCAAGCAAACAAACCACCAGCTCTAGTTGCTGGAAATTTTCCCCAGAGCATTCAAGAATCCACTGAATTTCCTATATCCCCAGGGGTATATAATCCTAGTGGACCCCCCCCCCATGGCATGGGGTGTTTTGCCACTTACCAGGAAATTATTTAACAATGACAACAGGTTTATGATCACTCCTGTTTCCAGGCCTTCCTTCCCACAGAATACCAAACTGAGGGCATGCCCTGCTCCATGTGCTGAGCTGACAATAAACTGAAATAGCCCCATGGTTACCATGGAGGCCATGAAGTCCCACACTAGCTCACTAAGAGAATAATAATCCTGGAGTTCTCCAATACCATGTTCCAGACCACCTTTACCAGCTCAGTCAATGAGACTGTTGGGCAGCAGGAATCAGTATAATTTGGTTCAGGGATGGGAAACCTCTGGTCCAGGGACTGGACTCTCCCCAGGCCACATCACTCCCTGGCCTTGCTTCATAACCTAAGCATTTTCCCAGGATGGGATGTGCTCTTGAACTCTGATGATGCCTCTTGCTTGCCTGGATGGAGGCTAGAGAAGGATGTGTGAGTGTGTGTGTGGAAGCTAGCCTACTGTAAAAAGGCAAAACTCACTTTCATTGCTCCATGTCCTTTGGACTCTGGCCCCACCCACCACTGGTATGTGGCCTCCGGATAGTTGCCCAAAACATAATGTGGCCCTTGGCCTGGAAAAGGTTCCCCAGCACTGGTGTATTTGTTCCCTCCATCTGCAGTTTATAGCAATCTAGAGTTGGAATATAAGAGAAGTTTGCAGATATACTTGAATTAGCCTTACAAGGTGGAAGACCAAGGCCGCATTCACAACATGCATTTAAAGCACTATGATCCCACTATGATTTTTACTACTATTGTAGTTAAGGGTGCTACAGTTTACTGGAAATTGTAGTTAAGGGTGCTGAGAATTGTTAGCAGTCTCCTATTCCCCTCACAGAGCTCTAGTTCCAGAGTGGTTTAACAACCAATCCCCATTCACAGGGAACTCTAGGAATTGTACCTTTGTGAGGGGGTGTCAGATACTTGTCTCTACATTTATTAGAAACCGAGGAAGCTGCCTTATATCAAGTCAGACCATTGCTCCATCTAGCTCAGTATTGGCTACACTGACTCAGACAAAGATCCAGGGATCTTCTGCATGCACAGCAGATGTTCCCCTACTGTCAGGAACCAGACTGATGGGTATTGCTCTGAGGAAGAATGTGAGAGCCCCCCTCTCCCTCTGCTCAAGGGCCTGATCCTGATGTTCCTCTGGAGCAGGAGGATAGTATCGACCTAGAGCAATGGTTTGTGAAAGGACACAGTTCGAGAACTGACAGTTGGGCTGAGCTGGGAGAAGAGCAACCAAGGGGAGAGGATGAGGAAGAGAGGCAGCTTGTTGGATCTCCCTCACTAGAAAGTGTGCAGCCCATGAGCCCTAGAGCCAAGCGTCTGGATAGGGTAGCCTCTCAGAAGGCTCAGTGGTGGAGGGATCACGTGGTGAGGAGACGGAAGTACCTAGAGGGAAGTGGGAGGAACTCAATTGGGAGCACCTACACGGTGAGAATGGACGCTGAATGTTTGTGCTGTGTTCAATAAACCTCTGTTGCTGCAAAAGACTGCTTTTGCTTCGTGCTGTTATCTATAAAGAGCGGGGAGGTAAGCCTTGCCTGGCAGTATGACACCTACTGAACTACAGTCATTTTCCAGTTCAATAAATTGAATTTAGGCACCTGTAGACATTACTGCTTGTCATAGTTCATACCAAATGGCAGCTGCCTGGGTTTGAACCTGTAACATTATGTAAAGCAGATGCTCAAGTCACTGAACTATGGCCCTTCCCTCCACTTGGGTGGGGGCAGCAGGACAGAGTTGTGTAAGACTCTGATGACCATCTACTCCATTGCTACAGTCCACATTTGGCCATTGGGCAGGAATGGAGTATTGCTACATTCAAGAAAATGCAAGAAGTGCTCAGAATGGTTCCCCTTAATCTACAGAGGGGGAAATCCTATGGAAAGCCCAGTTATAGCCGGTGAACACAAATAACATGCTCCTGTTTTGCATCTCGTTCTCTAGAAGCTGATATGCTTCATTTCAGTCCCTTGAAGCATAACCAGTAATACAGCAAAAGGTCAAAACTGCAAATGAGTATTGGAATGTAAAGGGCAGACAGGGTTACAATTTTGTTACTTAAAACACAATAAAGGATCAGGTAAGGATGCAATTGTTGTCGTACTGGGTTGCAATGGGATCCTTTGGCTAGTTTACTCCACCCACAGACACATAGTTGAGTACATTTCTACACTAGTTCAGAGCAACCATATTGTCACGCGATTCTTGGAATTACACAATGTTCCTTCCCCCCTTTCATGTTTCATTTTTCTTCACTGAATCACCATGAAAATATTATAATTACAACCGTAAGCAGAGTCTTGTGCTGCAGTGAGCTCACTGGGCCCAAAGGCACCAATACTTTGCTATTACTCCACTGCTAGACGGTTAACACAGCAGCCCACATACAGCATAGAAAAATGTTTATTATTTAATTTAATGCCCTTATTTATTTTAATCCACCTTTCTCCAAATGCAGGACCCAAGGCATAATAAATTATAACAAATACAACTAAAAACACACAAGAAATATAAATATCAAAGCAAAACAAATTAAAAAGTAACTGTGTTTTTTAAAAGCACTGTTTTCCTTTATTATGGAGATTTTAGGGTGGTGGAAGGAAGCAGTTTGTCCCAGTTGCCACTCAACAAATTTAGTTGTTACCCAAATTATGGCAAAAGGAACCTCAATGTAGATGGTGATACTTGGGGAAAGGGGGTGGGGTTAAAAGCTGAACACACAGACACAGATGTTTGATAGTGATACAGTAACTTAAGGGATGTCAAAAAATGAAAGATAAACCATGCATTCAAAACATATATTGCATACCTGGTGGCCAGTCTTTCCCTCACTAGGCCAGGTAACTTGATTAGCTTATAGACCAGGTGTAAGGAATCATTTTTTTCCTGTTGAGGACTGCTTTCCAAAGGGGTGGATATAAAATGGTAAAGGTAAAGGACCACTGACAGTTAAGTCCAGCCGCAGTCGACTCTGGCTTGCGGCGCTCACCTCGCTTTACTGGCAGAGGGAGCTGGCGTTTGTCCACAGACAGTTTTTCAGGGACATGTGGCCAGCATGACTAAGCCGCTTCTGGAAACCAGAGCAGTGCACAGAAACACCATTTCCCTCCTGCCAGAGCGGTACCTATTTATCTACTTGCACTTTTGGCGTGCTTTCGAACTGCTAGCTTGCCAGGAGCTGGGACCGAGCAACTGGCGCTCACTCCGTCGTGGGGATTCGAACCGCCATCCTTCTGATTGGCAAGCCCTAGGCTTAGTGGTTTAAACCACAACGCCACCCACATCCCCTTTGGGGTGGATGAGTACGGGCTTATTTGAAGAGGAGCCTTTCAGACCATAATTGAATAATACAGCTTATTTTGAAGTTTTCCAGTGCCTACATACTGTATATGCCTGCTGTTTGGGTCCCTAACATACCATGCAACATTGGGGATGTGATTATGAAGGCTAGAGTCTTCCTTGGCTCTTCTGCTTTTTCCCAATCAAATAACCTTAGGAACAATAGTTCTAGCAGGTTCCCAACTTGTGTTGCCTTATGGGAAGCAAGGTATTATATAGGAATGGTGACTGCCTGGTAAGGCAGCAGCATTCCTCTCTCTGCTTTCCACAGTGACAGGAAAGATTACTAAATTGCTTACAAGCATCCAACAAACTGCTTCTCCATGTGCTCACATTCGCCCCAACCATAAGAGCTGCAAACCTGCTTAAGGCTGCAAATCAATGCACACTTACCTGCAAGGAGGTCCCATTGAACTAAATGAGCCTTGCTTCCAAAAAACATAGGATGAGACAGTTAAAAATGAAACCTGAGGTTTTCAGGGAGTTTAACTCCATGACATACAATGCAGTCAGTGGCAGAGTAACAGAACTCACCTCACAAATGTTTATCATAAATTCAGGTCATGATGTATAGCAGCAGTGTACAGTTCAAATCACAGAGAGCCATTTTCTTTTTCCTCCAACGAAAGAGTTCCATATCACTATCTTAAGTGGGGAGAGATGGGGAAAATCTTCCATGCCAACTGCATTCTCTTTTTTAAACATTTCCCAATAACCCAATTTCTCAATAGTAATGCTAACTCAGAAGGGACACAGCATTCTAATGGTTGAATTCCATAGCCAAAGAACTCCAAATTACATGTCAAGAAATCACCGATTCTATATTCAGAATTAGTAATGTGTATCATTATCATCATCATATGGTTATCAGACGTCTCTGTTTCCTGGGGACGGTCCCCAGATCTACAAATCTGTCCCCGGACAAAATCCGTCCCCATATTTCATTTAATGTCCCCGGATTTATATTTTAAGTGTTGTAGATTTATTAGTAGGGAATGAATGTTGCGTGATTGGTTCAATGGCACAAGACACATCATATGGGGACTTCCGGCGAGGCAAAATGGTGGGCGCCACTGCCGAGGAGGAACCAGGGATGCCCGGCGCGTCAACTGGGGGAACCGCTGACCCCTCCTGCAACCCAAATTGAGTCGGGGGTGAGAGCACCAGGCCGACTGCCCAGTGGCGCTCCGGGGCCATGAAAACACCGTAGCCAACGCAGGGAGGAGAGGAGGAAGAGAAAGGAGAAAAGAAGGGAGCCCCGACCTTGCCACACCGCCGCTGCTGAGGAGAAGTAGGAGAGCACCAGGAGGGCAAGGACATGTGGCAGAGCCCAGGCCCGAGCCGAGCCTACTCCACAGCAGCTAGCGCTCCAAGAGACCAGGCTGGGGCGCAGCCTTCCAGAGGAGATCCCAGAAGATATCAGTTCTTAATCTTTTTTTTAAAAAAAAACAACTACCCTACTTTTCTTTTCTCTTTTTTTTAAAGAAAGTGTCCCTGGATTCTTTGAAAAAATTCTGGTAACCTTATATTATCATATTTGGTGGGTAAAGCCAAAACAGGAAGAGGGCACAGAAGATAGAAGCAGGAGGTGGTAAACCCTAGGCTCCTTTGAGAGGAAGGGTGGGATAGAAATTTAATAAATAAAAAGCATGGATCTTAAGGACAGGAGGACGAGCATCCATGCTAGGCATAAAAGCCAAGACCTCCAAGTTCTCTGCTCAACTCCTCCTTACAAACACACACCTTGACTTCTAATTTGCTGAGGAATTGCGCCTTTAAAAAACAAAATTGAACACTGAGTTGTGTGAGAAGCCAACTCTTGCAACCTCTGCACCAAGGTAATGTGACAGCTATCCTTTGTGGCATTTCCAAGTGACTTCCACAAGGCATATGGTGAAAGGTTGATGTAAAGCTACAGCACAATCTTATTTGAATTTTTTAAATCACACAAGGCAGCATGTTCTGCAGAAAAGTCTATTAATTTTTTTGCTCACTCCTTGCCAAGTTTTGCTCACAAACCGGCAAGTGCTATTTGAAAGCTGTATGCAGTTGTAGATGGATTATTGTATGGCTTAAGTACATTTCTCCCTGTGGGCAGTACAAGCTGATAGTTTCAAGATTTTATCAATCTAATTAGCACACAAGGAATTTTCCTGTCCCCCAGCATACAGAATGTGAAAAAGGCTATGCATCTTATGTTGTAGAGACATTCAAAAACAGCCACACAATTGTGGAAAAGTTGTTTTATTTCATAATTTCCACACAGTCACAGACCATGCACTAGACCTTGTTCTTCCAACTCCCTTACACAGCATTAGGACTTGAGAGAGGCTGAAGTATCTAATTCCTTTCTCTTCAATATCTTGGACACACAGACACTAGAAGAAGTCTATAATTTACATAATTAAGTTGTCGTATTAAGAATTTTAACAGGTTTGGAAGATCAGTAGTGGAGTTTGACAACAATGAAAGACTTCAAGTTGAGATAGATGGTCCCCACCCTGCAGTTTAGAGGCAAATCACATTAGCTGGTGTGACCTAAACATCAAGATAGTACGTCGATGCTTTCCCAGGGTTCAAGAATGCAGCAGCAGACTTCGACTCCTGGGCCTATGACAATCATTCATTTTATACCAAGGCCTCCCCATTCCCCATGATATGAGAAAGCAGCTAGACACTACTGGCATCTACAATTTGTTCTGACATTTCACATAAGGAGTCCACAAGTGCTTAAGACCAAACCCTCCTAGATATACACATGCATTTTTACTGAATACTGGTGGCGGTGTAAACATTCTTCAGAATGAATCATCTAGTCACATAGCAGAATTGGTGCAATATTGTTATAGCTGTCCCGCATAGCCTGTCCTACATCCCCTGCCACAGAAATAAGGAATAGCCCAGACATGCTTCTCCCAACCATTACGACTTTAAACTTTGTGTTGACTGTCCATAGCATGGTCTCTTATTTCCTACTCGTGGAATTATGTGCACCTACCATACTAAGAAATAGGCTCAAATCCCTCGTCCTCTTTTAGGTGCCTCAAAGAAAGAATTCATTACTTTGAGAAAGGAACAGCTAAAGCAATTAAAGTGAATAATACAAGTGTGTCTTGCTGGCCTAAGCCTACATTCAATACGCATTTAGCTTCATGGCAACATGTCTTGGTCAAGGCTTCTATTAATTATGTTCCTAGTCAGTAATAAAGCATTCATTTTCTTAACTGAGCATGTAATGATATGCATTTGAGAAGCGGAAAAGCAGGAGAAACTAGATCCCTCCTACTTTCCTTGCAGGATCTCCCTGCTACCATGCTGCAACTTTGAAACAAGCAACAGAATGGTGGCAAAGAGGAAACTGGATGAACACAGAAGAGGTCAATGTGGGGTTTCGTACGACTCTTAAAATATCTATTCATGTTCAAATAGCAAGGTCTCCATCCCCCTAAAATCCCCATGCATCCATGTCAGCATGTGTGGCAGGAAGACTCGTATTGGAAGGACGGCTGAGAGATGAGTGAAAAACCTGGTGTTTTTCCAGGCTATGTATTACCAGACACCCACACACAACCTTTCAAGTCTTTGGCTGTAAATCTGGTGAGGCTTAAATAACCGCAACACTGTTTCTCTGCTGTGCAACAAATACCATCTAGCAGACAAAATTGAAAGGACAGACTGTTGGGGGGGGGTACCCAGGTTAAGTTGGTATATAGATTAAAGCCTCCACTCTGGAACCACACCAAAGGCTTAACTTATTAACATAAGCACCACCTTAAAAAAAAAAAAAGAACAGGAAAGGGCACTTGTTCCTTATACCTACAAATTAACTCATTATTTATGGTGCCTTTTCAGCAGCAAAGGTGAGCATTTCAAATGTGAAAACAGGGGAGCCATGCCTGCAAAATTACATACAACCATAGCAATGCTTGTCACACAGGCTTGACACACAAGAATCTCGCCACTTTCTTTCTTTTTTTGGTGATGGCAGCAGTAACAGTTCCAAACATTCCTGAGAGATAAGACATTCACGGTCAATGCCCATTTCATGTCTGCAGAGCAGGAGACATAGCTAGAGTGAGCGGCCACTCCCTGAGCTGTGCCATTATCTCAAGGAGCAGCCAGAGATGCAGAGCAGTGTTGCGTATATTAAAGCTGATGACTCCTTAAAAGCAGTAAGGGCAAGGTGATTAAGCGTGAAATGTGCCACCCTCTTTAAAAGCGTATTAAAAGCACAATTTTACTTTTTATTCAAGCTTTCTTTTGCCTTCCTGTAGAACCTTCGTCTCTTGTTTCTAGTGACTAGTCATTTTATGCACCTAACGTTTTGGCAGGTACAAGGTAGTGACCATTAATTCTAGCAATTGGGTGATGAAGGTCTGAACCTCAACTACTCCTCATAGCACACTCCAGCCGCAGTGCTTTCAGCAAGAATTTGAATGTTCAAAACGGAAATATTTGAAAATGTGGCGCCTTACTTCCAGAGCTACTTGTTCCATGTCACAATAAAAACTAAAGAATGTGTTTTCCCTAGCAGTTTGTATTTTCTTGGACAGTTACCACTTGTAGTGGGAAGTGTTCTTGATAGCCACATACAGGAAACTGCTCTCCCTACATTCTTCTAGACACATTAAGGGTCTAGCGACAGTTTTGCAAACATGCATGCAATAAAAGAACCAAATTTGTGTACATTGAAGGGCATCAGATTGGCTGGGGAGTTTATCCCCCGTTTCCCAAAAATGGGGATACATTGGTGAGAACCTATGCAAATGTTCAAACTCTCTCTGGACACCCCCCCCCCCGCACGGCAAATATAAATACAATCAATGCACAGAGCTCACACAAATACATTCTCCACTATAAATATTTCTATTGAAACTTTTCATCCAGACTGCCATGCACTTTGGGGTGTGAGAGGAACAAAAACAAACTCCCACACTCAAACCAACAATAGGGGACTGAATCCCTTGGGGGAAGAGGGCACAGAATCACCATATTTAGATGTTTCCAAAAATTGGCAGTAGGTTACTGGCCCAATCCCACACTTTCCTAGGTGGGAGTGAGAGTTTTCAGTGCAGCAAGTCATAGCATATTACCGGGGTGGCGGGTTGCACAGGGTTGGGGCAGGCAGTTGGGACCACAGCAAGGACTTTCTAATAGACCAAGCAGCCAATCCACATAACTTCTTGCCCCATGAGACAATGACTATGCGGGTAATGGAACTGGACTAATAGCACCAAGAAATCTAATGGACCTCCCCGCTCTCACAGTATGATAAAAACGGAAAGAAAAACAGGACGAACTTGTGAAAAGAATGGGGCAGGTTATGCATATCTCACTCAGGATGTGTCAGAGAGAACCTGTTGTGGGCAGGAAGCTCCAACACTGTTCTCACGTATAAGGCAGCTATTCTGTTTGCAGGAGGACCTCTGGTTCCGAAAGGGAACAGTACAGAGTGTAACCCAACTCATCCACCTCTTCAGGAGTAAGCTCTGAAAACAAGTTCACCTTGGGATTCAAAGCGCTGGGAAGGACCCCTGCTTCCAAATAGCCGATGAGCCCTTTCAAGGCCTGCAGAAAACGGTCAGCGAGCATGTCTTGTGACCAGTCAGTCTCCTCCAGGTGCAGTACGACGTTGGTAAGCTGGCTAGCAGAAAGGTGACTCAACGCCGGGTTCAGCTTGCATATGGCCTTGAGGATCTTGAGGCACAAGGAACGGCAGCCAGAATCAGCCTGGTCTAAGGCCCGCAGGCGAGCTGTCTCTGCCGGCCGAAGACTGAGCCGCCACAGATTATCATATTGGGCCAGTCGGTGTGGTTTGGCTACCAAGACAGTGTCACCTAGCGTCACAGATGGCAAGAAGTCTATGAAAAGGCGCCGATCTCTTTCATACTGGACTTCCAATGTCAGAGATTCCAAGGGTGCTGCTGGACGGATCACATAGTCTAGGAGGGTCCCAATAGCTGGCCAGTTGATGGAGCCTGCCACAACTTTCTCAAAGGTGCTGGACACAGCCCTGGGTGAAAGGTAGCCCCCCACCACACAGCGGTCCCAGTAACTGCTACCACGAGGGAAGTATTCTGGGTTTTCCCGTCGTACCAGGCAGAAGCCAGGGATGTTCATAATGGTGTCTTCACCTGGAATGCAAGACCACAGGTTCTGTTCCAGCACCAGAGGAACCATGAGCTGGATGTGATCAGCAGTCACAACCTGCCAGGGGGGAGAAAAAGAAGAGGTTTTCTAATGCCCTTAAAAGGCTAAGGGGAAGGCTGGAATGCAAAGGAATGTTGAGCTGGGATCTCTATAATGCTCAGTGCTAGAACATGCTGATGTATCAGAGGCAGCATTAGAAATAGTTCCTCATAAATTAAACAGTAAGAAAGAAATAAAAGCAGAGTTTATGCTTCAAAGAAACTACTACCTTATTGAGATGCCATTCACATGCTCAGTGATGATTTGCAGATAGGCATTCCCTGGATACAGACCAGAGAGGCAGACAGACGGGGGAGTTGCCTGAGTTTTAGTGAATAGGAGTAAGTCTGCATGTAGGTGAAACTTACCTGATGTTTTTAATTCTGTAGAGGTTGTGCGATTTTTTTCTTGAGATGTTTTGAATATTTAATCATATATAGATTTAAATGTGTTGCAACCTATCCTAAGCCCCTCAAATGGGAGTGCATTTACATTAACTAAAGCCTGAGAAGAATGCTAAGAATATAAGAAACGAAGAAATGAAATTGCTTCCTCAAAATAAAACGTAATTGTTCACATTTATGGTGAATGCAATAAAAGAGCCAAGGGCATATAATACAAAACAGGGAGCCATTCACTGAATCAGACCATTGTTCTATCTAGCTCACAATTGTTTATTCATCAACTGGCAACAAATATCCAGGGTTTTTCCACACAGGAGTCTTTCTCAGACCTACCTGGAGTGGCAGGGACTGAACCTGGGACATTGCTGCTTCTAAGTTTTTATTGTCTAAAGCCAAAAGACAACTATTTAAAAACTGAGTTTGACGAAACATGATACGTTTCTCCAAGGAAATCACCATCACCATTAGGTGCAAGTTTAAGTTTTATCTAATACAAAATACTACACATAGAAGTCTTGATGTAGTGTTGAATCAAGTATGTCCATTCAGAATTGCTCACTTAAAGGCTATATGTTCATCAGGGTAGCATGAAGGAATGGCTCCCATGCCCATTATATATTGAAAAGAACAGAAGAGACTAAATACTGTAGAAGGACCATGCACAGTCAGGAACAGATGTGGGCAAGAAAAGATAAGAGAAAGATTTGACTCTTGCTCAGTCGGAAAGACAGGACATTAAACTTGCAAAAAGGAGGGAAAGTGCTTTACAGTATTGGGGAGAACAAATTATTTCCTATGCAAGATCAAATCACAAAAAAGCCAAGAAATCTGACCACAGACAATTCTAGGCACAAGAACATGATGCTGAGAGAAACACTGGCAACAATGAAGTTTGCATGTTCTCTGTCTCAATCACACCTATTGACGAATATGTAAACCTTCCCACCCATCCAAATTACCTGCAAATCATCATAGAGGCTACCACTCAGGTACATTTCACGGAGAGGCATGTCTGGCAGCTTGGCACGGAGGAAACCACGCAGTTCTGCACATATATCTACAGCAGCCTGCTTGGCTTTCGCCTGCTCTTCTGTAGGGATGGCCACCTTCCTCCTGTAATACGCGAACAGCTTCTCTTGCAAGGACATTCGGAGGCGGGACTTCTTCAGCTCCACCTGGCTTTTTCTTGATGGATGATTTCTGCTTTGTGGGTTTGATCAAATCTGCCAGGATAGGTTGGAGAGAGAACAGGAGGCCTCAATATTGCACCACACAGGACTCATTAGGTACAAATTGCCTGTACTGAATTGGACCTGTATTGAATTTGGAAACACTGGAGATTAAACTATGTGGGACAAAAAAACAATGACCACACTTTTAACCTTTCTTTAAAAGTAATGGCAATGTGCATTTTGATACAGACTGCAACAACAACCTTTAAATCATGTCATTTTCCTGACAAAAACAGTCCAACCTCCTAGCTTTAATCTTCCTTATGAGGACAAACTGAAAAAAGTACCCATGTGCTTTTCCTGTACATTGTTAGTGTTATGATGTAGTGATATAATTTCTCTCATATATATATATATATATATATATATATATATATATCTTTTGTTAAGGAACAAAAGAAGAAAAGGCACACTAGCCTGGGAACTTCCTCTCTGCCCAGAACATTGGAGGCTATACACCACACCCCCTCAACAGTATTTATAGGAACTCAAACACTGAGATTCCTGCTCTGTTCCAGTAACAAGAAGCCGAAAGCACCAGCCTGAAGATGACGAGTGAGACCTCGTCGAAACGTCACCTAGACACCCCAACTTTTACACGGGAAGACACCCGAGGACACCAAAACCTGCATATATATATATATATATATGATTATTGTAATAATTTGGACAGTCTGTTTTCTGCAAACTGCTTTGAGCACAAATATCTTTGTTGAAAGCGCAGTGTAAAATAAACTGACTGATTTGAAAAAGATGCTCTTGTTCCCTGGAGATTTTCACATAAGGCACTAGAACCATACTCATCAGGAATACATTGGATTAGCAGTATTCTTCCTCAGAAGAATGTGCTGGACTTACTGATCAGTAGGCTCTCTTCCAAAACTAAGTTCCTTTCTTAACTAACTGTTTTTAGACACCAGAAGATGTAAAGGTGAAAGGTTTACCTGTTTGGCAACCAACTTATGTAAGAAGTTGCATAAGAGTTACAGGATGTCCCTCACCTATATCAAAATCTGAAGAATCAGTGGGAAGAGTCTGCAGAGAGCGGCTAATATTAGTCTTCATATCTTGGTTCAATAACCGAGATGATGATCCAAGCCAACTTGGTTCCTCCCAGCTTCTCTTTCCTGACTGACTCATGCGAGTGGGGCTGGCTGGAGCACTGATTGCCCGGTCATACATCTGAAGCAGTAAAGTGGGGAGACAAGAAATTAAGTGTATGATCCATTCAAAAGCCTTCACTTCCACAGCCTCCCTGTGTAGAACCCAATGGTGAAACCGTCCTGGAAGGCCTGTAAACTCCATCTTGGTAGTCAAGCAAACATGGGACTAATCAATGTGAGCTGTAAAATGAGCTTATCTGCTTGCTTTGAAGCCTTGGCTGCTGGCTTGGCTAGTTGGGAAAAGGGAAGCTTCTACCTGTCAGCTACCCACTTATCTGAGAGATGGATGTGAGTGGGGAACAGGCCCCTAAGACAGTGTGATTAATTGGATTATTTCTGCCAGTTTATATAGCTTGTTTTCTGTACAAGTAACACACAACCTATTAGCCCCTCAAAGACGAAGCATGGTGGTGCTTATAGCTTCAGCGTCCATCCTGAGGTGTGATGGCAAGGAATTCTATGTTGCCTTATATGTCTCTTATATATATCCTTATAATAAAACACTAGAACTGATTACTCTGGTGTTTTGTGCATCTTTCTTTGGAATCCCTGCAACTGGGTCCTTCAAAGCACCAGTCAATCCTTCACTTTGGTCTGTATTTGGACCCACAGGACAGAAAACTCCCATTGCATCTTTATCATTCCCCAAATCTAGGCACCCTTTCACTCACAATGTTCACTCTTACCCGCTTAACAGCCAAGGTGGCAATCCCCAGCATGGCAGCACCTCCCACACCCAGGACCAGTCGAGCATTGGACAATACAAAATCAATGGCTGTGCCATGCCATTGTCATCCTTCTTTCCTTTGCGCTCTCCAGCGCCTGCCATTGCTCCTTTATGGGAAGAAAAAAAACAAACACAACTGTTAACATATTTCATTTTGCCCATTTGTCATTCTGTGCTTCCTGATTAAAGCTAGAATCTCACCCCGTCCCACTGGTGGTTAAAAAGAACCTAATTATCCATTCTACCAAACTTATAATGGGATAACATGTTTCACAATCCTAAAGTCATTTGTGCACACAACTCTGGCACAGCTTAGGCTGAGATTTCCCCAGGTCCTTTCAGTGAACTTCATGGCTGAATAAGGAATTGAATGCAGCTCAACAACCAAACCCAAGTCTCTATCTTTTACTGCTAAATAAAACTAAGTTCCTAAGGCAAATGAGAATATATGAAAAATGGTATGCTCTTTAAAAATTAACTCAAGACAAAATTATCTCAAGTTTTTATAAACTGATTTCCAGATCATAAAAATAGTTGTAATAAGAGCTTACAATATTGTACAGAAATAGATCTTTCCACTATGAAAAACCATCAAAAGCTAGATGGGAGTTTCCCCAACCTCTGCAGTTAGGCATTTCTCTTGTTCTTACCACCAAACTGTATAGGTCACTCCTTGCAGTGTGATCTGCAAGCTTCCTGGAACTACTCTGGCTCCCATATATCCTAGTCATGTTACATTTAGTCATTCAAAGTAATGCTTTAGGACAGATCTACAATCATTTATAAAGATTCTGAAGAAGTAAGAGAGCACTTCTGCCTGGAAAACAACCTACCTGGGGTTTACTGCATCTGTGAAGAATGGGGAATACTCCCAGGCAGGACACTTTTCGGATTCCTTTTTCAAATTTGTACCACACAGCCAGTATTGACCATCCAGCCCAGATGGTCAAAAGGGTTGATGAAAAGGAAAGTGGTGAGAAAACAGGGGGGCGGGGGCGGGAAGGGAAGTCTCTAAACCAACCCCCCGAGTTTGGAGTGCAAGAAAGCCTGGCCCTTCTCCAGCTGTCTCTCCTTATCTTTGAGCTGCTCAAGATGTTGATTCTTGCGGAATTCACGCCGGATTGTGTCGAAGTAGAAATCACGGTCAGTATAGCGCAGGCCACGTCCCTGACGCAGCAGAGCGCGATAGAGGTTCAGCACTGCTTCAGGGTCCACGCTGCCATGAAGGATGAGTGGAGGGCGGGCAAACTGAAGGCACACAGAATAAACAGAGACAATGAAACAATCCAGTATTTTTGCAAATTATAATATTTAGCCAAGTCGTCAATTGTGTTTTATCCAAGAGGACATGAGTAATAATATCAACAAATAAAAGAAATACATCTATTTAAAGCTCTATCCATTACAACCTCCTGCAAAGTTATCCTTTATTTATTTTCTAAGCAAAAGACAGAGAAGACTCCATGAGGCATATTAAAAGAAACGCCAAAAAAAGTTCCAAAAGGTGAGGAAAAGCCTTTAAAAAAAATACAACCTACATTCACATCCCACAAAACTAGGTATGAAATCTCAAAGGGAGATGCAATGAAGCACCCTGTGGCAGCGTTGCCTCTATCTAGGCCCCACAACTTAATTGGAAAGTTGGGTTATGGGGAAACATCATATATGTATTTTAAATGAAATTATTGTGAAGTCAGATTTATTAAAAATTATTGTGACGACGTCAATCTCTTGGCAGACTTAGAATGAATCTTGAAATATAGAGAAAGTATATAGCAAAATGTTATTGACAATAAATGGGAAAGCAAAACAATAACGAAATGTGTACAGACTAACAAAATGTAAAATAGCACAATGAGAAGAATCGGAAGTTAGTGTTTATGGTGTGTGTATGTTGTAGTGTGTGTACTGTGTGTGGTATATACTGTATGTACTAAGTTAACTCTTATAAGTTATATGTAAATTGATGTTAATTGCTGTACAATAAAGGTTGTTTAAAAGAAGACGACAGTAAGCAGCATCGGAATCCGGTGGATTTCGGAGATGGCGGTGACGGCGACTGGCAGATTTCCCCTCTCCCTCCAGCCTACCACAAAACGAATTATATACATATAATTATTAATATATATATTGAGTGCCCGATGAGGAAAATGAAAGGCCCTCAGAGGAAACTGGAACTCAAGGGATCAAGGAAGTCTTTCTCCCCTCCCCTCCGAGCCGAGGGTCCGAAGGAAGAGCCCCGCCGATCCCACCGAGGTTGGGGCTGCCCTATGGCTCCGGGCGTCTCCCCCGGAGGGAAGCGGAGGGTTGGGGCTAAGGGCGGGCACTTGCTCTCGGTACCTTCGCGGAGGAGAGGAGACCGTCGCGTTTCAGGGGCTGCTCGGAGCCCACCTCTTCCCGCTCCCGGCACAGCTCCCGGGGTCACTCGGCAAGATGGCGGCTTCTCTTCCGGGGCACGACCTCCTTCGCCATGGAAACGCCAAGAAGGAAAAAAATCCACAAAAGGCCCCGGCTTCCCGTTCGGCCCTGAGGCGGAGGGGCATCGATGGAAGAGGATTTAAATGAAGCAGAACAGGGCTAAAAACAAAACCGACCGACCCCCTTCCTGCGCTCGGAAATAATAATACCCTGCACTCTAAAAATATTATATTTTGCTCATTGAGGGAGGCTGCGCCTCTGCTGGGCTGTTTGCATATAGAGCCTCTGCGTCTTGGATGCTTTTATTAAAGGCTCTGTTTTTTTAAGGTGATGTGCGAAGCAAAGAGCTGAGCAACGGAGTTAAATTTAGGCATTAGACGAGTGTAAGTTGCATTGCTTATGAATAAGGAGTTCTCTATGGCAAGTCTGGGGTGCAGATTTATGCTTAGAGTAGACCTATTGAAATCCACGCTTCAGGTAGTAGTAACTTGGAAGTCTCATTCCCCCCCCCCAGTTGGTCGATTCGTAAAGGTAAAGGGACCCCTGACCATTAGGTTCAGTCGTGACCGACTCTGGAGTTGCGGCGTTCATCTCGCTTTATTGGCCGAGGGAGCCGGTGTACATCTTCCGGGTTGTGTGGCCAGCATGACTAAGCTGCTTCTGGCGAACCAGAGCAGCACACGGAAACACCGTTTACCTTCCCGCCAGAGCGGTTCCTATTTATCTACTTGCACTTTGCCGTGCTTTCGAACTGCTAGGTTGGCAGGAGTGGGGACTCAGCAATGGGAGCTCACCCCGTCACGGGGATTCGAACCGCCGACCTTCTGATTGGCAAGTCCTAGGCTCTATGGTTTAACCCACAGCGCCACCTGCGTCCCTTGGTCAGTTCTTAGGCATGACTAAAAAGAGGCTGCAGTACTAGTCGTGTCCACCCAGCAGGAATAATTCCCAAGGAATTCAGTGGGATTTCCTCCTAGGAAAATGGGTTGCAGTCTTGCTCATTTATAAGAGTAGAGCTGTATGAAATGGTCCTCCTGCCCAGAACTGGTGGCCTGTGTGGTACGGTTACCAGATTTTTTTCAATGAATCCGGGAACACTTTTCAACTTGTCGTAATGGATGGATTTTGTCAGGGGACTGATTTGTAAATCCGGGGACGTCTGGTAACCTTACTGTGTGGTATAGTGGTTAGTGTCAGACTAGGACCTGGGAAACCAGGGTTCAAATGCCCATTTGGCTATGTAGCTCAGTGGGTGACCTTGGGCCAGCCACTTCCTCTCAGTTTAAACTTACCTCACCGGATTCCTGAGATGAATGTCACGACCCTATAGTTGCCTTTGACTGGACTTAACCATCCAGGGGTCCATTACCTTTTACCTTACCTATTGTGGAGATTAGCAGAGGATGAGGAGAACCATGTACATTACGTGGCCTTGAGCTCCATGGAGACCAAGCTGGGCTTTGAATGCAATAAATAAATAGCTATTCTACCCTTTATAGTGACATCCTTTGCTCCTGTTTCAGAAGACTATGGAGGATGCATTTACTCTTCCAAGCCTTCCCTTCCCAGATCTCCCCATCATGTCTTTGGCTATGTGCCTGATTGAGGATAAAAGCAGCTGGCCTTTTGGTTTACATTGCTTTGTTGACTTGGGCAATGCAGTTGTAGCCTCTTGGCTGCTCCTGTTTGTCAGTGTTTTTAACCAATGGATGAAGTCAGAGCTATGATTTATAAGTGAGTTGGTTTGGATAGACATTTCTGAGGTCCTAAAGAGCTGCTGGTTTACCCTCCTGTTTACTGATTCTGCTTATTTCCTATTCCCTGGAATCTGTATTTTACTTCCTTTCCCCAGCAACCAGGATGCAACTTTCTTGGGCTGGGTTCACCTGACATTGCATAGTCCCTAGAAGTTTCTTTCTGCAAATCATAGTACACAATAAGTTTGGATGAATGTTAAAGAATCCCTCTTCTTCCAAAAGGCAAACGTGAAAACTTTGCAAAGGGGCTTAGACACATCTCCTGTTTTGCAGGAACTAAAGACCAGGCACTCATTAAGAATTCACTGCATAGTTAACAATGGTATATACTGTATTTTTACCCAGAAGTACCGGTATCTTTGTGTTTAATGGGGGTTACTCCCAGGTAAGTGGGTACAGGATGGCAATTGAGGGTTTGGTTTAGGGTTGACATTTGGGAGGGAAGGGTTCTTGTGTATTTAACAGCTGTAGGGCAGGGAGAAATTCAACAGGTTAAAGCTTTTTCCTGTGTGGAAAATACAATTATGTGGAAAGCTTCACCATGACTATTCTCTCTGAATTTGTGTTATGTCATGCATGCCGCCATGATAGTATTACCGTATATTTGATAAAAAATGAACTGATGTTTTAAACCTTTTCTAGTTGTATGGCTTGGGAAAAATAAGTTTTCAGTCCTAGGCCTTACTTCTCAGTAGGCATGGTTAGAATTGTGCTGTTCATTTTCTCCCCAGCTGCCCAAGAACAAATTGGTGGGCCTCTGCTGTGCATATGTGCTATAAAACACACTGAAGTAAAAAAGTAATTACTTCCACTTTCATTCCCAAACAGTAGCTGTATTGATCCTTCAAACTAAACACAAATCCTCTGTATATTCTTATCTGTGTGTAACCCCATCAAACTCAGTGTGGGTTACATCTAAGTAGAACTG